GAATAGAATCCAATTTCCTACAACTAATCTTCATCCCTCAAGTTCAAAAAATGCACTCATGGAAATATATGAATTTCTACATTATAGGTCCTTTTGAAAAGTCAACAAAAACACCTTTTGGATTGTCAAAGTTGGCCATTTTTAGAAAATTGCCAAAACTCAAATGTGCTCAAAAGTGCATTTTTTTGTCAAATGGGCCTAGCTTTTCATGATTGTATCTTGTTGAAGACATGGTCCACGACCCAAATCAGCATCCATATATTATTTGCTCTATTTATTTATTTTATTTTGATTTTTATTTATTAAAATTTAAATTAAATCAAATAAATTGCAAAAAATATAAAAGATTGATTTTTGATCTGATTTTTGTAGGAATCATAATCTAATAAAGCTAGCCTAATCAGATCAAATCAAATCAAGGCAAATTGAGACAAAAATAGCATGATTAGGATGGTTTTGGAAAGATATCAAATAGCAAACAAATCAAATACAATCTTCATGATTCAAAGAAGATTGAAACTGTTTTTGTTGCCCTAATTCATCACACTACATATATAGAACATAAACAAGCCAAAAGGACGAGGATTGCAGTCGCGAAAGCTGAAGAACAAAACTCAAATTTTGGCAAAAAAGTGGTAGATCGTTTTCTCACATAGAGGGTGATTCAAAACATTCCAAAGCTTCTAAACGATTCATGGACCTCTCCTGAAGCTAACACGATCAATTGCAAGCATTCCCAAGTCCAGAATCGTCCCATAGCCTTCACACGGTTTGCTCTTTGTTTCAAAATTGATTACAACAATTCTTGCATCATAAGCATATTCTAATGATGTATTTGTGATTATTGACATATTTGTAACATGCTTGAATGATTTAATTGGCGTTTTGATGCATATATTGATGATTTCCATGGCTAGGGTTTAAAAAGCCGTTTTAGGGCTTCTCTGTACAAGTAAAATTAGGCCAAGAAAAGGATACCATGATGCTCGTGGGATCAAGACAAATTGATCCATGTACTCACCTTTAATTTATCATGCGTTTTGTGGATTTTTGAAGCTTGCAGGGCTATGGCTATGGAGTTCTGTCCGTAGGTAAAAGGTATTGGCCTAAGACGATGGACAGGGAAAAAGACAATGACTTGTCACCACCCCACTGATCCATTTGAATGATCACGCGCGTTTAGATGGCCAAGGCGCGCGTTGTATGAGTGGAAGGACCTGGGTTCGATCACAGGTCCCAACATATTTCTTTATTTTTCTTAACATGTGATTGCAGGTTCCATGCATTACTTGGCAAGACGTCCATCATGCGCCCCACTAATCCAGCCACTAGATCATTACCAACACAGATCCAACGCTCAAACCAAGGAAAGACTATGGTACATTCTCCAAACGTGGCTACACAGAATCAGGCGTAGGAATGGGCTCAGCATTCATGGGCTTGGCACAAACTCAGCATGCACCCCCCTAGTTGCCTATACAGGCCCAATTTTTTCCTTTTCTATTTTAGTTCTTTTATTTATTTATTAATTATTTTCTTTTTTCAAATAACACCAAAAATCATGCTTTTTTTTATTTAATCAAAAAATCATAAAAACATCAAAAATCATTTTTTTATAAAAATATTTTATTAATTAATTAGTTTAATTAAATTAAAGTAATTTAATTCTTTTTTTTATAATTAAAATCAACTAGAATTAGAGTTTAATGTTGTACATAACTTAATTTTTCTCAAACAATAACCTAAATATTTTCTCAATTAGATTTTTAGGTTTCCTAGTTTGTTCTCGCATTTAATTCGCTGTGCGCCTTTAATTCCTTTTTCTATTATTGTAATTGTTCCGAGTTTGTAATAGTAATTAGGATTTTAAATTTCCGCATCTTTATTTACAGTCAAAATAATTATGTATCTGCGAAAGCCTTGTAATAGCTAGGACTTTAATTTTTTGCATTTTAATTTCCGCAAACTATAAGTTGTTAGATGTATGTTAATAAAATTGTATGAAAAGACAAATTACAATTAATACAGTAGAAAACCTTAAATGTGCAAAGATAAATAAGCTAGAAAAAAAACACACTTACACATGCTCACTCCTAGGGTTTACTCCACTCCGGTTGCATTCGGTAAACGATCATGAAGTATAAGGAATATTAGTGGTCGTCCTCTAGTCCCAAAAAATTTAAAATGACTCATTCGGATGTTGCCTCGGAAAAAGATCTTTAAGGCTTTAGGATGATTATTAAAAATTTCTTAACATTTCTTTTGTGATCGTACGTGTCCCTTCGAACGTCCCTTAAAACTCCAATGACGGTGCTACCTATTCCTTAATAATAGGATAATGATGTCTAAAGGAAAACGAATACTTTTTTTGAGTAGGTAGATTAGTTCCTAGGTACTTGCTCAAACAAATTTTTTCACATAAATACTTTTCAAAAACAGTTTTCGAAACAACTTTGTCACACTCTTGAGGACAGAAACAAGGGTTATCACGAAGTAAAACAAAACTTTTCAAAACAAGCACACACAAGCAATTTGAAAAATGAGCAAGTACCTAAGAGTGAGTCCATGGAAAATCATGGATAGAAAGGGTGTTAACACCTTCCCTTTCTATAATCTACCCCCGTACTCAGAAACATTCTCGAAAAAAGTTTTTTCTGTTCTTTTTCTTTTTCCTTTGTTGGATGAAATAAAAGTCGAATCATTTGAGTCGTCAATGCACCTAGAGTCTTAATGTAAAATCATGTTAGTAGAATTTAATGCTTTTTGACACACAAAAATATCAGAAATGACTAAATTGACTAATAAATTTTTTTAAGAGATTAAAATGTAACCTTTTTTTTAGTTAAAAAATTGAAGTTAAACATTAAATTAAGTTAAGTTAAAGGATTTGATGATTAATTATGTTTAATTTTATTTAAAAAATTACTATTAATAGAATATTTGATAAAACTAAAACACTAAATTTTAATCCGCTCCATTCATGTAATCAATCCAAACGTCCCCTTATAGTTCTAAACCTAGTGTTTCAACCTTCACTACCTATTCGGTTATGGGTTGAAATTTGTTTGAATCAAAATCATCCGTACACTACAATTTTCTCCGTACAAATTAGGATTTCCACTTCCTATCTTCAATTCTGCAGACTGGCGATTCTTTCATTGAAAATCAAATCAACCTTGGATTCCGTACAAATTTAAATCGTGACACGACGTCGTTTTGAGAAGGATTGAATTTTTCAAATGCACCGACAACACCGATCTCTTGGAATTGTTGCTCAATTTTGAGGTACAACCTAATCTTTGATAACATGTTACATTCTTATTTGCTTTTGAAGTTAAAGGATTTAACTGTTCTTAGATTTGTTATATCTAATGTAATGTGTTGAGGTTTCTGATTGTTTATATTATACATACATATTTGTTACTTTGGTGAATAGATTTATGAGGATTCAACAATTTCATGATGAAAAGGTTCTTAATTGTTGTTACTCATTCTTAATTGTTGTTACCCAATAGATGCTAACAATTTATGTGTTGGATCAGTCCATTTAGAGTTTGCAACGGAAATAGTCTCCCTTGGATCAGTCGGTGTTAGGGTCGGATGCCAAGTTTTCAAAAAAATAAAATAAAAGTTAGTAACAACTGCCATCCCAACATAGTAGTATGGTTTAGCAGTACCTAAAGACCTTGTAACATTATGGTTTTGAAGAGCAGCTGTAGCGATGTAAATAACAATCAAATAGCTGTTGTAACGGCCACTAAGGTTTAGCCCCCGCAATTCATAGCTCTGCTCTTTTTCTCCGAGGACTTTTGATCCTTTTAGCCCTAAATCCTGACTGCAACAAATTAGGATTGTGCATCTCTCTTCTCACTTGTTTCCTCTGCAAAACAGCTAACCCAGTCGTGTGTCTCACTCTCTTCTGTCTACATTATTTTTTGCAAACCATTTATGCAATTTTTGGGTGCCCTCACTCAGTGCAGATTCTATGTGTTATGCTCAGGTTCTCCCTTGGCGCAGGCTTTTTGACTGAGTAATTTTTCTCCAACAGTTGTGCTAGTATTCTTCCTCTACCCAATGCCTAGAGCTAAAACTTATTTACTCTATTTTGAGATTGAATGAATTTATTAGTTGCAAACTCATGTAACTTTCAACTTTTTAGCTTGTATATATATGCGTATGTATTATTTCACTGAAATCTTTAACGGGCAGATCACTACCCCATCAGTGTTATGCAGGTGAACCTCGAAGCTACACTCCGCTACGTGGGATTGACTACTGACTGCTTCTACGTGGATGTCATGAAAGCTCTACAGTGAATTGTCGTGTAGAATGGTCGTACTTGCTTAGTAAGTATTTATTTATAGCGTGAAATAATGCCAATCCATAACAGCTTTATGTGCGCTTTTAAAAACCTGGATCCAAGTTAACCCCGTGCAAAAAAATGATTAACTTGAATTAACCAAGATTATGTGATTGATCAAACAGTGTGTGCATATATCATTGTTTAATAAATTATTCTTTTTGCCTCCATTACCTGCATATCTATATGTACTCAATGGTCTCAATACTTTTGTGACAGGTCCTGAAAGTTTAAGAAAGGATTCAAGATAGTATATGTTAATGGCGTTTGAAGAGAACCAAATTGAGAGAAGAATGCACCAAAGGAATTTTCATTTCAGTTTTAGTATTAGTAATTTACAGTTGCATTCGGGCAATACAATTTATGTGCCAAATAAATGAGTCTCCTATATCCTTCCTTAATTGTCATTAAACAACAATTTTCAGAGCCTAAAGTTTGGAATCAAATGCAAATGACACTGAAAGTGAATCTACAAGACTTCTCTATATGAGAAGTCAACAAAAGATCATCTTCAAAGATCTCTATTGTCTCCACCATTAAGAAAGATGTTTTTTGTGCTCTCATCCTCTGTCCAAGGATCGCAATTGTCTTCACCACAGAGATGGTTTCTGTGCTCTCATCCTCTGTCCCTTAACTGTCATTATAAATATGGTTGCTCTTCATCTGTAATATAGCAAAAAATAGTCAAGACAATTGCAACCATAATAATCCTGTTAGATGCATACAGCATAAACCTAGTGTGACTGTTTTCCACCACTCAAATATGGCGTTCTTTTTTTTTATTCTTAACTTCTTTCGTGAAACAACCTCATTAAGATGCAGAATATCCAGTCATTAGCTATATAATGAGAGTCCACTAATCACTCTCTTTACCACTCCACTGTTTGAACGAAAGTGCCTAATATTTATTTTCAAGTTAGAGAACCACTAATAATCTATTTGGGTGAACAACATAATAAACTGGTACATTTTATTCACAATTACAAATAGTAAAGTTTTGTTAAATTATCCTAAGAGAAGTTGAGTTTCAATATATAATACATATCATATGCATTAAGATTTATGTAGACATCTAATTATTACCACTTTCACCATCTGATGCATCTGCAATCCTCGAAATGGCCTCGACAAGAGCCTGCTCATGCTCCTACACAACAATACAATCAATAATCAGAACATAAACAAATAACCATGGGGCATGAAAGTTGACAACAATGAATTTCATGATGGTTAGTGACTGTACTTTCAGCATTTGCTTTGCTTTCTCAAGCTCTGTGGAATCTGGAAGACTTGTAGCAAAAACCCTTTCCACCTGTTATAACATAAGTGATATTAAAAACTCGAGAATTTTCATTTTCTCCCTATCTTAATGAGGTTTCTTAGGCATGTTATATCTACCTCCTTAACTAGTGCATCTGTGTTCAGCAACTCAATCTCATCTGAAACTCTATTTCCAATACCATTTTGTGGCACGATAAGTTCTTTTCTGGGTTGATATCTTGGATGCCCTCTTCCTCTTCCAGCACCTAAAGTATCGTTACCATGGCTAAAGAACTTTGCTCCACGACCTTGACTTCCATGTCCACTTCTGTGGAGTATGCTCGGATCTTCACCTTCCCATCGTATATCCTCAGGTGATATCTGCAATTAATAACCTATAGAATCAGTAATAAGATTTTGGTGAGTCACTGGGTATAAAAAATAGGAGCAACTCTGCTTGAAGTCTCGAAAATTCTATTAGAAGTGGAATTACTCACTCTTGAACAAAGCTACAACTTGATTATGATCAGTAGAAAACTACACAAATTAAAGTTCCAGAGGATGAATATCCTAATAAACGTTGATAGTTTATCATAAATTAGAGTTCAACTGTATCAAATCTCAGCCGAAAAGCACGTCAAGAGTGTTTCTAAATATCCTAATATAAGAGTTTTATAGTAATTAAAGAAGCAATATCTTAACCTGTATTGAGACTAAGAAATATCAGTGAGTAATTTCATAAAAAAATCTTTACCTGTTCTATCCAAGCCCATGTTTTTAACTCGTTAATCTTGAGATCTTAATAATTTCTCTTAGAGATTTTCTACGTGTTCCCCTACTTCTAGTTGTTTGATTCTTCTCCATCTAATCTACTTTCCTTATAACAGAATTCACAAATCTTCTTTCTACATGTTCAAACCACCTAAGCCTGTGCTATCTCAACACTCTCTCTAATATTGTCATCTTTAATCTTATTTTGTACAGGCACACATCCAACGCAATATCTACATCTTTGTTACACTTACTTTGTTCTCGTGTTAATTTTTAACTGCGGCATGCATACAACATCACATGTCTTACAAACCAAAGATATGTAACTTCCTTATGACCATTTAGTTTCTCTCAAACCCTATTACCTCAACTTAAATGAATTAAAACTCCATTTTTTGCAATACTCAAATGTCAATAATTTGACATTGACTCATGATGTTTCTTTCAGGCAGTGATCCTTTATTCTCAGTGGGATTACTGACAAGTACGATACGAATTTACAAGCACCAGAAAAATGTATCACAAATAAGGGAGGAAATAAACTCATATGATTGAAAGGAATTGGAACAATTGGCTATTAGTTGTTACCATCTTCAAAAGTATTTTATCCTACAGACTCATCATGATACCAAAAATGGAGAATAAATAAATACCTCTTTGAGATCAACCCATTCCCAAGTTTCATTTGTTTTATTAATATCATAAACCAAAGCATGCCGGCCCTGCATAAAATAAAAAACACTAATGAATGAAAGTTCCCTAAAAAGTTCTTAATTTCTTTTACATGATTAAGATGAATTGCATTTCAGGGTTCAGACCCTAATCACATTTGAGTATTTTTATTCCATCTAGGGACACCTAACCAGACCTCGGTAGGGTTGTAATCAGTTATGACAGCTTCATAAAAGTGGTTGTCTTCAGGCCATCTAGTCCAAACTTTCTTCCCAATCAATGGATCAAATGATGCTCCTTCACCAGGCGCATTAGATATCAGATTACTAGAAGAATTGCGATTTGCAAAATGCCTAGCCCCAGCAGGTCCAGTAGATGCGTACGGTCCAGACTTTACTGTAGACAAACCAGGCAATGACTGACCCTGGTACAATATTTGGTCAAAAATTAAAAACCAAATAGATATCAATATATTACTTTTCTTTGTAATTTAAGTGCAGCGGAATTAGACGACTTATAGTCACGGGCTATTAAAACCGTCTCGAACAATTGCAGCGTGAGTACAAAGATACTAACAGTGTCATTAAGGTTTGCGTCACATGAAAGACAAGAGAGAGTGGTACCGAATGAGACGTTTTCTGTTTTTTGCGGGAAGCTGAAACAGTTGGACTGGGTAAAATGTCATGAACAGGCTGTGATGTGCTGCGTCTTGGAGGTTGGTAGATGCCGGTTTGTCTCCAGTCCCTGATTGCATTGTGCATCAGATAACATTAGGAAAAGAAAAGAATCTGAGAAACTGCTGATATTTTTTAGTTGTGCCATTACAATTTACAAACACAACACCTTATGCGGTGGATTATTTCATCAGAATTAACCCTGGTAAGAAGTTCTCGGTGTTCGTCATCTGAAACCCTCAACTCTTTTCTTAGCTCAGTTATCAAACCTTCTTTCTCCTGATAAAGACATAAAAATAAAAGAGCAATGCTAAGCTTTACAAAAATAATGCAAGAACGGTTATGTGGTATAACTGTCTTTTGACGAAATGCAAAGGTTCTTGATTTTAACAAAATAGCCTTCGTACTAATCAACGTTTCTCAAAATAAAATACGAGATAATATAAAAGATATGGAGAGAACTAAATAAATATACACACCCAAGTAAGAGCATCTGACTGAGCTTTAAAAGCACGCAAGACAGCGGAGTACGCGTCTTGCTCAAGTTGATGAATTTGAGCCTCCATGAAAGTTTTCTCGTTAAATTGATAGCGTGAAGGTGGAACAGAATTTACAGCAGGTTTTACATAGCATGCATCACTTGATACCTTTGAAAACTGTATTTTGATTTCAGGGGGAAAGATCATCATCATCAAAACTAGAAACCGTTTTACGAAAAAAGAACTCATAAATGAGAAACAAGAACATCAATGAAAACAACCAAATTTAATTCTTGTAATATTTACTGGTTCACCCATTCTTGATAGAAAAGATCTTTGTGAATGCTAATAAGACTATTTCTCAGTTGAAGAAACAGATGTCTATTCTTTTAGATTTTTTGATTTGGTTAGTTGTAACAGTTTTCTGTTTGTAACTAACTATTTTAACTGTTTGTACATTATCTATATAACTGCTCTGCTTTATATACTTGTCCTTTACATACTCTGAAAATATTCTCCCAAGTTTTCTCTTGCTTTCTTAGATTTCCAATCCTCGTAGCAAGGTATCAAGGTCATTGATCTATAATCAGAGTAGCCATTCCCGCATAGCGGTATGGAGTCGACGACCCCAAAAGTGGGATAGGGTATAGCGGGATGACTGCTCAATTTGATCATTTTTTGGACAAATTACATATAATAATTATAAACATATATTCAATGTAAAATTAAACAAATAACTCAACTCATAAATCAAAACTCACACGACTCTTGCGGTGCATAAACAACGATGAAGCTAGGTTAAGGTTAAGTCTTGACTCGAATTAAATTGAAAACCCTAAAATTATTCTTAAAATGTTGTAAAATTAAGGGGTAATTTTGGTTTTTTAATAGCATGCCAGAAACCCCGCTCCGGTACGGGAACCGCTTTGCTCCTCTATTCCGCTATTTACCTTATAGGGACCGCTATAGTGTTATGCACCACTAAGGTTCTTCCCGTAGCGGCCGGCCTCTGCTATAGCAGGGTACTATTGTAAGAATTGCGAGACCACCGGAACGTTAATCTTCGTTGTTTCCTGGTGCCATCTTCTGATCTGAATACATTTACTCACATTTTAAAAAAACTTTATCCTTACAACTTCACAAATTTATTTCATGCACAGTCGGTGGTTCGTGCTTCCAATATGCAACCATTACAAAACAAGCTACGTTGTGAATAAAATTTGTAACTACAAGTCATGCCCACTGAAATTTCATTGGGCGGCACAAACAAACAAACAACCAAACCTTATCTCATTAAGTGGGCCGCCTACATGAATCAACTTTCGCTATAATATTCTATCAAAATCCTTAATCTCAAAGTTTTTCTTAATAACTTCTCTTAATGTTTTTCTAGATCTCCCTCATCAGTATCTGATCTACTCTACTCACCACAGAATTTACAGGTCTTATCTACATTTCCAAACCACCTCTGTCTAGTCTTACCATACATCCAACACAACATCCTCATTTCTGCTATAGCACATGCACTTAAAATTAAAAGGGACATCAAATTGCAGTTTACAACTATTCCTAACAAAGCAGCCTCAATGTCTTCCTATTTAAACTTTTTTTTCAAATTAAATCATCTCCAACATCGACAAATAACAAAAAAAACTAGGAAGCAATAGAAATCTCGTACAAGAAATTGAACCTCAGCAAACTAACTAGGTAAAAAGAAACCCTAAATTGTGTCATTTCAATGAAAGATAAAAGAAAGAGGAACAGGACTAACCGCAACATCAGGAATTCAACAGTCGTTAAAGAATCGCATTAACGGCAATGGTTGGTTGGAATGAGATAGCGTTTCGTTTTTCCTTTGTTACTGTGTCGATGGGTTTAAGAGAAGATAGAAGAGGGGTTTGAGAGAGAGAGAGAGAGAGAGATTAAGATAGGGACAAGTTGAGAGTGTACCTCGTATATATAACACAACACAAGTCGTTGAATAGTGGAGTTTTGTTTTGGTGATACTCGACACGAGAAAGAAAAAAAAAGTGAAAGATGAGAAAATAGATTTGTTGGTTTTTGTTTTTGTTGTTGAGGTGAAGCGATGGTGCGAGAAGGGTGTGATTTGTGTGCCTCTATTTATAAAGAGTGTTCTTTGCTCCATCGGTTGGGTGATTCGGGTTATGGGCTTCTTTGGGTGATTTGAATTTTGGCCCAATTCAAAAGAGTCTCAATAAATATGGACTAGATTGAAGAATTTTATCTGACATTCCTAAAGTGATATTTGACATCCATAATTTTGTAATATCAAAAATTTCTTCTCATTCTTTTAGTAATCACATGTCGAATTTTTTTCTCTCGGACGCAAAAAAATTGAAGATCGTTCTAAAAATTTAATATGAATTTTTAATGACGTTTTCAAAAAATTCAGTGCAAAATCATAAATTTTGAAATTTTTTGTTATTTTTTTATTGGATTTTCTAAATATTCGGTGTAAATTACTAAATTTTGGAATAGTCGATATAAAAGGTAAGGGTGCGCTGATTTTTTTGACAATTTTCGTAGGCTATTTTTTAATAATTATTTAAGGAAAATGAAGTTAATATTATTATATTCTTTGATAAATCTAATATGTTTTGTAATTTTTTTAATGTTTGAAAAAATTGATATTAAATTATAATTTATTTTTAAAAATATTTGATTTTATATTGGATATTTAAAATTATCAAATAAAAAATAATTTATATTATTTTTTAAATATTCGATATAAAATCATAGACTTTAAAACAAATTATATTTTTATACTTGCTTTTTCAAATATCTGATATAAAATCATAGATTATGAAAACAAATAATGCTTATCATAGATTATGAAAACAAATTATGCTTTTGTGATGGTTTTTCAAACATCCTGTATAAAACAGTTTTCTCTAAAATTTTATATAATATCATAAATTTTATACCAGTTTTCCAAAAATTTGATGTAAATCATAGATTTTTATTTGTTTTTAAAAAAAAACAATATTAATTTAGAAATATTAAGGTAAAAATGCTATTAATGAAAAAGTGTCGGGTACAATAGAATGGATGAGAGGTTAATCTTTTTTTTAGATTGAAGTTAATATTTTAACTTTGTTGAATTAGTAAGAAATATGTGTTATCGCACGAGTTTCGTCTGAATTCATATTATACGTTTATAGACTATTATTTTTTATAAAAATATGGGTTTATTTTTAAATTGGTTGATATTCAAATAGTTATAAATATAAGTTAATAGTATACATCAATTTTTAAGTATTCATTCCTACTTATATAATAAATTATACTTTCGATTTTCTAACTTCAATTATATAATAGTAGTAAAAAAAAATTAGAGGTGGATATTAAAATAAATCATCTACAAGTGATATTTTGTAAATACATTCACATTTATTTGTGAATATAAATGAGTTAACAAACTTCAATTAAATTCAAATGATTAATTTTCAATAAATATATTATTTATACATTGAAGTTTTTCAAATTTATATATAAAGTAGCTTGAAACTTTGTTTCTAAAGAATAAAAATATAAATTAGTCAAGATACATATTTTTATATTTAATCCAAAATTATAATTTATAATTTTTAAATTAGAATGATGTATTTGAAGTGCTTGTAATAAACAAGAAAGCTATCTTATATTTGAAATGTTGTGTTATAATAATCTGAATCAAGTCTTGCAAAAGAATTCAAAAAATAAAGCGGCCAGTGAATTGAACAAAACTCTATTGCAATTGCATAGTAGAACATTAAAGAGCTGCAATAATGCCCAATATGAAGGATAATGTAATAATAGCACTACCACTATGACAAAATATGCACTTGAACCTAGAAAACATGTTGCTTAGGAACCAACAAAGTATTTAAAAAAAACTAATATTTTATAACATCCCTGTTGAAGCATAGAGGTGGAGGAAAATGTAAGTTTTCATAATAGTCCCATTCAGGATGAAAACGAAGTATGCATATTCTAAAACAATTTTATTAACATGCCATCAGATTATATAATTCAGCATTTTGAATGTTTAACTTTAATGTCATTTGTAAAAAATAAAAATAAATTAAAGCCAAATTTACTGACTGTTATGGAGAATCATTTGGAATTTGGATATCTCCCAATAATTTTTACAAAGTAGACAGCATATGCGCTTTAACCATACCTTCTTTTCTCCTAAATATGCTTTAAGCATACCTTCTTTTCTCCTAATTAAAAACCTTTTTAGATCGTGTTGTAATAGGAGTTCTAATTCAAGTATATTCGTGTAACAATCAATAAATAAAATTGTATAATGGAGAATCGTGTCTCGATTTTCTTTTTCTTTTTTAAATCCTTCACAGCATCGTGTCTCCTGAATTTCTTCTACCGTGTTCACTACTTGGAATAGTCCAAATTTTTCTGAATCAAACTTTTACTTTAAGAAGTTTTGATTTTCCACACAGATAAAGAATCACAAATCAAGTATATGTCCTCAGTCGGCTTGAAGAATTGCTTGTTGGAAGATTTGCTCGTTATTTTCAGTTTCCATCAGGTGGTCAATCGTCTAACAAAATCTTAAACAATCGGTCTAACTTAGATTTATCTAATATCTCATCTCGAGTAACAAAATCATGAATCAAACTCACCTCATCATCCGGCCTAGTTCCCGTGATTGTAGAATCAAGCCAAACAAATAATCACAAAGTTAAAAATACAAGGACATGATGACTATAGTACTACTCCCGTAAGGTAACACCATTAACTTCATCGACGGAGTAAAACGTTCAAACCTGTTATAACTCTTCTCTACCATACTTTACTCATCTTGTATTCTTTGTCTAAGAGTCTACAACATAAACATCGTTGAGAAGATATATATAAATATGAAAAAACAACGTCTAGTGTTAGGTGCTTCAGATTAAAATACATGAAACTGTCATGAGATCCCTGAATTTTTTAGTCAAGGAACTGCGATTGCAAGGAAAAGTAGATATTAACTACATGACAGTCCTATGACATTAAAAGACAGTCAAACCAAAAACTTATAGCACACACCTTAGGTGAAAGTACATATTAGAGCAACGTCGAGCGATGCGGCAAGGCATTTCCAGGATACTTGGTTGCAACCAACAACATTCATTCATATATCAAGTGATAGAGCACTTTCAGCTATTAACAAACAAAAAATAATCAAAACTTTGAAGCATTATAGCTCCTAATTACTACATGCAAAACATAATACATATAACTCACTGTACAAATAAGGTTTCCAACTATTGGCTGCATTTGTCTGTTCATTTATCTCATCCATGGTTTTGTCGACATCGTCAATATTCTAGAAAAAAGAAACAGAAGCAAACCAATGTTACTATATTAGACTTTAGGAATACTAGGAATCAAAACAGAATGTGGTTGTTCTAATTCTATCAATTCTGTCAGTTACAAGCATATGAGCAGCCTTATTAAATGTTATTTGTAGCAGTTAGAGAGCCTAAGAGCCACCATTAGAATTATTAGAGTAACAATTATTATTATTAGGAGCAGTTACAAAACTTAGGTAGAATAAAAAGGGAAACAGAACCATGTTCGCTCTAGGTAGGCTGGAAATTAGAAAAAAGTTATATTTGGGAGGGAGAGACCAAGCTCTCGAATTCTTGGAAGGGAGAGAACCGAGACTCTCGAATTTCTTGAAAACTCATTGTAATTACTATTCAATTTTATTGTTTGACAATCAGTTTCTTTCAACTGGTATCAGAGCAGTTTCCTTTCGGGACTACTTTATGGTATCGACGCGAGGGGAAATGGAGGCCAGATTGGAAGTTCTCGAACGTGGATTTGAAGCATTGTTATCAATGGAAGAAATAATGGAGCAACAACACGAAGAAAACCGTGTGGAGTGAATGGAGGTTAAACGGCAAATGAAAGAATTGGTCGAACCGTTCGTCGCACGAGGCGCCAAAGTCCAGGAGGAACACGACACAACCATTCAGATGAAGAGGATGGGTCTGTGAATCACTGTCCTCCAAGGTTTTGCGAAAAGTGATGGCGAAAACTGGAAATTCCAATTTTTGAAGGAGTTGATGCTTACGGTTGGTTGAATTGTGTTGAGTGTTACTTTGACCTAAAGCAAGTGGAGGAAAGAGAGAGACTGCAGGCAGTGATGGTTGCCATGGAGGGAAAAAAACTTGCTTGGTTTCAATGGTGGGAGTTTTCTACACCAAACTCGACTTGGGAGGAATTCAGAACAGCCATACTCAAATGATTTCAACCCTCAATAATCCAAAGTCCCTTTGAATTGTTGTTGAGTCTAAAACAAACTGGAACAATGGAAGAATATAGAGAGAAATTTGAGTTATATGCAAGCCCCTTGAAATGTGTCGAACCATCTTATTTAAAAGGAATGTTTTTGAATGGACTCAAACATGTTATAAGGGCATAATTGAAACTGCACCTTGTAGAACGTCTGGCTGAATTGATGGATTATGCACAAAGGGTATGTGATACGGTGGGAGAACTGACTTGAGGTTTTGCGTTTGTGTTCGCACTTGTGCGGTTTAGCAAGAGTCGCCACCGACTTTTTATTTTATCCAAAGGAAAAGGTCAAAAAGCACGGGAAAGACCTTTGAGATGTTTTCTTGGGTTCGGGGGGTAGATTATGAAAAGGGAAGGTGCTAGCACCCTTTTCATCCATGGTTTTCCATGGGCTCTTAGTTACTTGTTTAGATTACTTGCTTTTGCTTTTCAATTGTTTGAAATGATGCTTTGTGTGTGGTTTTGAAAATGTTTTGAAAAGAGGCCTATGTTTAGGCAACTTTTGTAACAATTCTTGTTTGAATGTTTTACAAAGGTGTTTGTCTTTTGAAAAGATGTTTCAATGTTTGAAAGTTTGATTTGGGAAATGTTTTGAAATTGTGTTGTGATGTGTTTTCAAAAATAGCAAGGATGTTTGCAAGTTTGATCAAGTAACTAAAAGTTGTCTACCCTATCTACTCAAGAGTCTTTCCTACACATTTTTAACCCTTTTGACAGTGTTGTTTTACCATTGTATTTGGTAAACAAACTTGAGTTTGGATGTTAAACGGGACAGGCCCGG